ATGTGGTCTTTAACAATAGGCTCTTGCTTCATTCCTTTCTCGGTGTAACTGATGGCAGATGAAAAGATAATTTTGCAGTAATTATTCCATATGTTAGATGAAGGTGAATCCTCATCAGTGATCAGGTACTTGGGCTTCACAAAAGTGTAGCATAAGAGTTTGTAAGATTTGCCGGAAACAAAAATCACTTGATAAGGCTTAACTAATTCACTCGGTAGGAGCCTGCGTCGTTCATTCAATTTCAGATTGTAGCCCTTATGAAAAACGGATTTTATGGAAATGCATGAGTTTCATATAAAAGAACGCGAGCTGTAAAACTCTGTCTGTAAATAAAGGTATATGGTTGATTTTCACAGAGCTTGACTTACAACCCTGAGGAACTCGAACTGATTTTAAAAAGAAGGGGGGCAGGGGGAATAAAAGCTTGGTTTTACCAAAGGCTCATAAATCAATAGTGTAGCAGCCTCTTACATCTTTTTCAGCCTTCAATATTCTCGACGATCAGCCTTATCACTAATAGATAGGACCCAGCTTCTATTCAAAGCAGCTCAGGCCGGTCACGAACCCATCACGAGATTTATCGGAATTTTTAGCCTCAAAAATTATGACCTGATGGCTTCCATGCAAAGAACATCCGTTGATGAATAAATTAGTTGTGGTTTCAACCATTTTGGACAGAGAAAAAGAGCATAAAATCAGCTTTATATTCCAGGACCTCGAGCGGCCAAATGACATAGATGCTCAATGTGTTTAGGGTCTGTTCACAATTTACCTTTCTTGGAGCATTTGCTGGTCATTTTAATTTAGATTCTTCGACTTCTCTTTTTTTTAAAATTCAATTTGTATATTTAATTACTTAAAATATAATTTCATTACTAAAGGCAAAGACTGTGAACAAAATCACAAATTTATTTCTCCATCCAGTCTTAAAATAAATAGATAAATCAAGTGCACAGCCATGCCACTATTGTTTTTTGCTACGTGAACAGTTCATGAACAATACAAACTCTTCTAAGATCTCTACTTAGTATTACATAAAAATCATAAAT